TTTGGGACTCAAGGAAAAGAACTAAGTATACTGCAACCAGTCTCTCCCTAACAACAATAGCACCCTTATGGTAAGAGCTGCTGAATTTAGTGAAAGTGCTGATACATACAAAATAGATTGGGAAATTAAAAGTGATTAATCTGGCTGTTACTGGTTTCTTTTTACCATCTTGGGCAAATAATTTCTTTTGTTTAAGTTCTCAGATTCAAAATTCTTTGTCCTGAGAAATTATAACATGGTGATATGGACTCAAGAGAAATCGTCATATTATCCTCTGCAGAGCCACCTCTTGATAGGATATTAGGGGAAAAGAAGCAAATAAAGACCCAAAATAATTTCCATAAAACCTCAATAATTACCTCCCTCTCACCCAGCAGTGTCAGTAATAGAGTTGGAGACAGAGTTTCCAATGATCTCCAAGACCAGTCCCACTTCTCACTTGTAGTCTTGGACCCCAAAACTTGGCTAAGCAAGAAGAGATTTTGTCACTGCTCATACCCACTTCCCACCAGCTGTGTGCCTTGACCCTAGTTCACTCTGGAAAAAATCCACCAATGCTCATGCTCAATCCAACTGCAAAGGACAGACAGATGAAAGGGGTGTGGGGGGCAGGGGGACAAACAATATTTGGCTCACCATAGCAGTTTCTGCCTATAACAAAATCAAGTAAGTCTTAATGGAGCCAAATACACTGCTATCAAACTAGTCCTCATTTTATAAATCAAAGGCAACTGCAAAATGAGTAGATCCCACAACTGATGATAGAAGAAAAGTCCAGGCTACCTGAAAAGGTGGTTTTCCAACAAGGCATTGATAGATCACTGTCCCTATGCTCCACAAGTCTGCCTTTGCATCATAATGTTGAGACATAATAACCTCAGGAGCCTGGGTATAGAAAAAATTAAAAAATATGAATTATATTAGTTATATAACTAGTGCATATATATTAATTATTAATTGGTAATGGTCACACTCCTAACTACTAAAATAATACATTGTAATATTTCTCCCATCAAATGATACTGCAACAAACTTAGAACTAATTTTTATATTAAGATTTATGAGAAAATCTTAAAAACAATGTTGCATTAAAAGGAGAAACAAATGTTTCTAATATTATGATGGACACAAAGTACAGCAAGTGTATTAAAATAAATAATAATAAAGAAAAACGCACATCAGTTATAGGATAGGGGTTCCCTAACGGCTATGAAAGGTGGAGAGTGGGTAATGGAATCAGAGGGAGGCAGAAAAGGGATTCAGGCTATCTGAAATATTTCTTTCCTAAAAAATGATCAAGGCAAACATAGCAAAATGCTAACTTTGTCAATTGGTAGGTACACAAGTGTTTGCCACATTATCCCATATATATTTTTGTAATTTGAAAGCTTTCATAGTAACAGAAGCTATGATTTGAGAAAACTTCCATGCAAGTCCACTCTCCTAAGAAGCAAAATATGTCTTAACATCACCTGACTTTTGGCATTTTACATTATATTGTTTCAATTTTTTAAAAGAATCAATAACTCTTTTCCTTTGAGGGGGGAAAAAAACTATGACATAAAACACATTAATAAAAACTGTGTTAAAAGCAATGGTGGTGCATGTCTATAATCCCAGCATTTGGGAGGCTGAAACAAGAGAGCTCCAAGTTTGAGGGGGACTAGACTACATGACAAAACCGTCTTCAAAAAAAAAGCAAACGCATTTCTCTCTGCTGCTTTGTTAAAAGTATTTTCCTACCTCTTTTCAAACACTGCCTTTCAAAAATCCCATCAATCAAAACAAATAAATAAATTTGATGCAAAACAGTGACCTTTGACTACTAGTTCCTCTAATTCCAAAACTGATTTATTCATTTATGTTTTGTTTTGAGACAGGCTGGCCTTGAACTTGTGATCTTCTTGCCTCTGTCTCCCCAGTTCTGAGATTACAGGGTTGTACTACCAACCCAGCTTTAAATTTTACATGAAAGGAATTTTTTTTTCTTTTATTATTCATATGTGCATACAATGCTTGGGTCATTTCTCCCCCCGCCCCCACCCCCTCCCTTACCACCCACTCCGCCCCCTCCCTCTCCCCTACCACCCCAATACCCAGCAGAAACTATTTTGCCCTTATTTCTAATTTTGTTGTAGAGAGAGAATAAG